AAAGTGACTATCTTCTTAGATAGTCAAAGTGCTATACTATTAAGCAAAAATCCCATCTACCATAAGAGAACAAAACATGTGGACGTGAGGTTTCACTTCATCAGAGACCTGATCACCAAAGAGCTGATTGATCTGAAAAAGGTTTCTACTGAAGAAAATCCTACAGACACGGGAACAAAGATTGTTAGTCCAGCCAAGTTCAAGCATTGCATGAACTTGCTATTTCTGAAGTAAGCAGAATATCAACAGAGCTATGAAGGAATCAATTGAGGCACACTGCACTAAAAAGGAATCAAGTGAGAGAGTTGGTTTCAAGTCTTCAAGGTGGAGATTGTAAATGTGAAGACTAAAACGATGCCGTCTTACTTAAACTAATACGCTGTCGTTTCAGGAATAAATCTGGACCATCAATCTTCATGAGATCCAACGGCAGAGTTCAGTCCATCTTGGTCAACGATATATAAGCAAATGGTTCTTCAGTCTTCGATAAGGGTTTTTTCGATTGATATATTGTGTATTAGGTTTTGCTCTACTAGGGTTCATCTTCCTGTTCTGAAATCTTGAATCTGTGTAACTTGTTGAGTGATTGGGTTTGTCATTCTGATAGAGAGGGATTGTCTCTCTTAGGGCTGGGAATCTAGGTGTTAGTTTCCTAGGTTGATTGTTACCAGATAGGGTGATTTTGGGTTTCTTGGATTGTTTGATCTAGCGTCTGTAATCTGTAAACTGGTTCATAAATTAATGTAGTAAGCTTCATCCGTTTCCAGAGCTCAACGTGGACATAGCCTTCCCATTCTTGGAAAGGTGAACCACGGTAAAAATTGTGGTGTTTGATCTTTTGTGGATGCTTGTTCTATTGGTTATAAATTAGGTTTTTGAGAGTGTTATTACAACATCTATGAGTTTATAAATATTGTAGAAAAAGTTTCTTCTTTCAAAAATGGTGGAGCATTGTGGTTCAAAGATCTCTCGGAAAAAAGAAAGAAATGTATTACTTTTTATTTTAAAGTTGGAGACTGACAAAGGACTAACCCCACCTTCAAAAAATAGTAAGTTTAACCGGTTGAGTTGAAGAATTTTCGGGGTCTATTGAACCCAAAAACTCGATGAAGGAAGTAAACCTCCTTGACCACAGGCCAACCCTTTGGGGTTTTCATTTTCTAGTTTTCTTTTTGTGTTTCTTCTCCCAAAATTACACTACAAATGAAAATGCTAGACTAGAGGTTATGATCTTTCTATTATTATTGTTGTTATTTTTAATTTTGAGTGTTGCTTTGCTTTTATTATTCCTTTCCCGGAAATTGATATTAATTTTATGTCAAACTTACAATTTTTATAAAAATATTTATATTTCAAAAGTCTTGTACATGCAACTTTTTGTTGTCAATTTAATAGTGTTTGTGTTAGAACTCAAACCCAAGAAAGAGCCCACCCTAAACCCTAAACCCTAAACTCTACCCAAAAGACTGGCCTGATGGATAGGAGAGCCCTTGGGCGTACCACACTTGGTGGGTGTGAGATCCCGATGTGGGATCCTAACATTGCGGAGAGCCCAACCCAAAAGACTAGCCTGATAGATGAGAGAGTACATTGGCGTACCACACTTGGTGGGTGTGAGATCCCGATGTGGGATCCTAACATTGCGGAGAGCCCAACCCAAAAGACTAGCCTGATAGATGAGAGAGTACATTGGCGTACCACACTTGGTGGGTGTAGGATCCCGATATGGGATCCTAACATTGCACTTCCCTTCAAGAGCTAACGTCCGCGACGACTTTCACTCCATTGACATTGACTTGACAGTAACCCTTTCCCCCTTTGAACGACTTCACTCACCTATTAGTTATTCGATGCAACACCTCCTCCTAAGGAGAGCACACTGCACCTTAATCTAGTTTACAGGTAACCCTTTCCACAACCCAAGTCTCAGCGAAAAGCACTAATGTTAGAACTCAAACCCAAGGAAGAGCGCAACCCAAAAGACTGACCTAACAGGTGGGAGAGCTCCTACATTTAAGTACCATACTTGGTAGGTGTGAGATCCTGATATAGGATCTTAACCGTCTACCATTAAAGTGAACAATATGCACCTAAAGACGCTTATTTTCATAACAATTTCTCTACAATAAAATTCGTCTATAGCTCTTTTTAGATGAAAAATGCCTCTTATAGCACAGACAATTGGTCCATATTGTCTACCACTCCATAAAAATTCCCTCTTCTTGCATTTAGATTACAAACGTGTACTTCATTTACTATCATAAATGCAATAATGCATAATTGTGTACTTGTTTAACAACCAACTTGAAAAAGACAAAAATTAATACAATGACAAGAACAATACGTAATAGCTTAGGCCCATCCTTTCAATTTTCAACCGTCTTTAAGATATCTTATTCAATTCTCCTCTTAAAAAATCTCTCAAAGTTTAGGCTTGTACAAGCTTCACATTCTAGATTTCTCCCTTTTAAAGTCTACGCCGGTGACACAATGCTTCCTGCTTTAATTTCTCTTGGACTTTGAAAATTATACTTTGAATTGACTTTTCAATAAAACTTGACCCAGTCATTTGAAGAGTTGATACCTTAGATGGCACATTTAAAAATCGAATCATATGTTGTAAATTTGTACCGACAAAGCATAATTAGTTTGTAAGATGATTAGAGGATATAAAATAATAAAGAATATGATAAGTCTATACACGTATTTTAAGAGATGACACGAACTTTGATTGAGATTGTATTATTAATTTATAAACCCGATATAATATTAAGCTCTGATCTCACCATTTACATAATCTTAAACGTTTACTTGGCTGTAAATGAATCCTCTTATCCATTTCTATTTATTTTATATTATTGCAAAGATTATTTTCAGTTAAATTATTTCATTTATTTTATTATAACATAAATCTAGTTGATAGCTGCTATGTTCCTGGGCATCCATGTGCCCGGCTAAATTATTAAGCATGGTCGTTAGTCATCACCTATAAGTTTTTTTTTTTATGATCGAAATGTCTTGAGCAGTTTATGTGTACTTCAAGTAATTTTTTGGGACCATAGAATTACAGGCCAGATAATAATTCCAATGGTTATCTTTATTAGTACTCGAGAAAAGACTCAAACTTAGGATCTCTTGAATAATACACTTAATAGTCTATATCAAACCACTCGACCATCCAAAAATAATTCACTATAAGTGTTTTCATGCTAAGATTTTTAAATTACTAAAAACATTTTTGATTTAGATCCAAATCTGATTTACTTAAAATATTAAATATTCCTCAAAGACATACCAGGTTCCCGTTCCAGTGGGGGCATAATTATTAAAGAGTGGAGATTACTTTATTTCGACTTGACTAAATAGAATTTTCTAAAGTAAAGTTAAATAAAGTGACTGAGACTCCCGACATTTTTAATAAATAAAAGGGAGAATGACTTACATATACCCAAGGTTTGTCGTAATGACAAAGTGATACCCATAAAGTTTTAAAACGATAAATAGGTACCTTCCATCATGTGCTGTTACTGATTTTCATTTGATAATCGTGAAAAGACTAGAATGCCCTTAAAAGTTTGATATTTTAGATTTTTATAAATTTAAAAATTTCTAAAAAACCCCCTAGGTTTGCTAATTTAACTAAACACTTAACATATAAACATTTTGTAAAATAACAAAAACACCTCCACCACCTGCACTGCCAGATTCCGGCCACCACCGCCGGAATCTGGCCGAAAAATTGCGTTACGACACAGACCCGTCGGATTTGTGTCGTAACGCGTCGATCTGGCATTTTCCGGCCAGACCTGCCGCTGATATGGTCGGAAAAGGCCAGATCTACGTCCAGATCTGGCTGTTGAGAGTTTTGCGGCCTCGACTTTCCGGCCAGATCTGCCATGGATCTGGCCGGAAAAGGCCAGATCGACGCGTTATGACACAGATTCAACGGGTCTGTGTCGTAACGTAATTTTTCGACTAGATTCTAGCGGTGGTGGTCGGAATTTGGCACTGCAGGTGGTAGGGGTATTTTTGTCATTTTATATAATTTTTATATATTATGGTGTTTAGTTAAATTAGCAAACCTAGGAGGTTTTTTAGAAATTTTTAAATTTATAAAAAAACTAAAATATCACACTTTCAAGGGCATTCTAGTCTTTTCACTATTACCAAACAGAAATCACTAATAGTACATGACGGAAGGTACCTATTTGTCATTTCAAAACCTTTTGGGTATCACCTTATCGTTTCAACAAACCTTGGGTATATATAAGTCGTTCGGCCTAAATAAAATAATAAATTACACAGTGGAGTTCGATAAGCATGGTCCAGAATCCAGATTCATGAAATATCACGTAATTAATTATTTGATTAATGTAACCAACCTCTAACCACTTGCCTAACCAAATTATTTAAGTCATTGTTTGGTGACATTTTCCAAATGCAATTGTTGCCGAAAATGTGTTTTGTTTTTTGTTTATTTTAAAAACAAAATTATTACCCTCTTTTTAAATTTTTTACATAAAATCGTATTCAAAAGTTTTTCCTATGTTTTTAATTTCTCTCAAAATCAACTCATATTAACTTCAAACTTCAAAGTATGGGGAGATTGAAAAAATCAATCTATATTGAATTGACCAATATACAAAATTAAAAAAAATATATATATATGAATTAAGATAACCTAACTCCGTTACAAATTCTTTTATTTATGGAATTATCCCTTTAAAACAGTTGACAAATACTTTAATGGAAAATAAAATTTTAAAAATATTGCCGCAATCATATAATAAATTGTTAATTGTCTTTAACTAGCTCTACTAAAAGTCAGATTCATTCCAAAAAATTCGCAAATCCAGCCCATCACGTAGCCAAAAAAACTCAACTCAACTCAAAAAAATAAAAATTTATGCATTTATATAATTAATCTATTTATTTTTTAATTTTTGAGTTGAGTTTACAGTTTTTGTTGACGGAAATTCTAAAAACTTAAAAGCTGATTCGTTGGAACAGTGGATCAGGAACAGTCACAAAAACCCTGTGGTCCTTGCAGCTTGCGCTCTCATTTCTCATTCCCATTTTAAGTCAAAAACCAACTACAGAGTTCTTCCAGCCTCACAAAATAAGTAGCATTCAGTTTTCTCTCGTATTTGGCCAACTACATCCACCAAATTTAATTTAATTTCCTCTTGTGCGGTTATAAAGTGCGAGAGCGAGAGCTGGACCAGAAGGCAAGACAGGAATTAATATCAATAGTTGTAGCGTGATCGATCGAGAGAGAATGAGTGGTAAGAGTTACATAGTAGAGGTTGAGGGAGCCAAGGAGGCCAGGGACGGCAAGCCGTCGATCGGACCTGTGTATCGCAGTATTTTTGCTAAGGATGGATTTCCTTCTCCGATGCATGGCATGGAGAGTTGTTGGGACGCCTTCCGGTGAGGATTTTCTTCACTCTGTTTGGTTGCTGAGAAAATTATTTTACTTTTTTGTTGTTGTTGCTGTTGTTGTATTTCAGTGAGTAGTTTGTACAATTGTAATTTACAGTTAAGTTGAAGGACTAAATATGATTAGGAAAATTATTGATTTTTTTTTTTTCCAAATCAAGTGATGATCACGTGATTATACGAAATTCAAATTGCCGTCTATGCTTCATGATTCTGCCAAAGATTTTGGCTTAATTCACTTAGTCAAGTCGTTATTACAACATGTTTAGTACGTTTTTTAGATGATAAATTACTTTTTTTTTTCTTTGCTTCAATTGAACTTTGTAATTTTATGTTATTGTTACAGGATGTCGGTGGAGAAAAATCCAAACAATCCGATGCTTGGTCACCGGGAGATTGTAAATGGGCAGGTATATTGTACTTAATTTGAACATGGTAGATGCCTTTAACTTTTAGTCTGTTTGTGTTGCTTGTGTTTACTTAAGGCTCTCTTATGTGTATGTTCAGGCTGGTAAATATGTGTGGCGAACCTATAAAGAAGTGTATGACTTGGTGATCAAAGTTGGAAACGCCATTAGGAGTTGCGGCCTTGAGGAAGTAAGGCTTTATCTTATTGGAAAATCCGCTTGTATTCATTTTTGTCATTTTATTTTTAATCTTCTTGCTTTAATGTACTTTTTGCTGGTTTACAGCGAGGAAAATGTGGTATTTATGGTGCAAATTGCCCAGAGTGGATTATTAGCATGGAGGTACTATTTTTTAGTTATTTATTTATTTTCCTGTGGTTCACCTTTTTTTATATTTATATTAGTTATCTACTCTGAGACTAAATTGAAAGTTAAGAAATGTCAAAAATTACAAAATTTGGGGAAGGTGTTTCAAATTCTGTTTTGTTTTTTAAAGTGCAGGCGTACTTATTAGTTATCCAAATTCAGTTTGTGTCTCTTTTGTAATGGAGTTCTATTACTTAGATGTCTTTCTATATTATTGTTTGTGAATTAGTGTATTTACTGTATATAGAATTTTAAGATTAATACTCAAAACTGATGCAGGCTTGCAATGCTCATGGGCTCTATTGTGTTCCTTTGTATGACACTCTAGGTAAGCATATTTCTTCTTAAGCATACATTACTGTATGCTTATTTGATTTGGATGCCATTATTTAATGTGCCAAAAATGGTATTCACAATTATTTCACCACTTTCATGTGTATGCTTTAGGTGCTGGTGCTGTGGAATTTATTATATGCCATTCAGAGGTTTCAATTGTTTTTGTGGAGGAAAAGAAGATTTCTGAGGTACATGTTTTATGTTTACATCTGGTTTTCACCTGAAAGTTGCTATGCAAATATCTTGTAAGGGTGCCCTTGCTATCTTAGATACTCATACTGGTACAAAGTTTAAAATGTCACTATGTAGAATGTTGTAGTAGTTTATGATGGCACTGGTTTCCAGAATTTGCATCCTGATTATGTGGTACTCAAAAATGGTTCATTTTTTGGTGGACCGCTGCTGAGGTTGTGCTAAGTCTGTTGGCATTCTAAGAATTTGCTATAATATGTGCTAGGAATGTTCTTTCTTACCTGTAGCTATCTTTTTTTTTTACTTGCAGTTGCTTAAAACATTTCCCAACGCAACAAAACATTTGAAAAGTAAGTTGCATTTTGCTTGAAGTTTTGTCTTAATTATGCATGTGCTAGTCAGAAATAATTCTAGATAAGTCATCATGCAGCGATTGTGAGCTTTGGCAAGGTTACACCTGAGCAGAGAGCAGAAGTTGAGAAGAATGGTTTGGCTATGTATTCTTGGGAAGAATTTTTGCAACTGGTAGGATACTTTTCTTTATATGCTTATTTTGATTTATAATCTCTGTATGTAATTTCATAATAATTGGAGGATGATATCTGTTTCTGTATACAATGAGCAAGCTGCTGCTTATTGTGTTTTTTGTGACTGGATGTCAGGAATCACTGTGGCCGAAATTTTCTAATGATTAGCTTTGATCCATCTTTATGTTATATATGGACTAATTTGACGTAACCTTCATTTGTTGTAAATAATCTCTAATTTGTTCACTGTAATGCAGTGTGAAATGTGAATTAGGTACTAAATGTGCTTGTAAAATATCTATAACGTGATAGTTTTCATATGCAAGTCTCTTGAGTGGAAGATGAAATCTTGTGATGCGTTTGTTTTAGTATTTTGGATAGGATTTTTGAGAAAGTAAGAGTTGGGTGGTTTTTACGAGGTAAGATTTGAAAATTAACAAAAATACCCCCTTAGGTTTGTTAATTTACTAAACACCCTTGTAATAAAACATTGAAAATTAACAAAAACACCCCCACCCACCTATTAAACATCGGCAGCCAGCCACCACGGCCAGAGGGTGGCCAGAGTCGCCGTATTGGCGCACGACCGGCTGGATCTGGCCGATATGGCCTTTTTCAACCAAATCCACCGTGGATCTAGCCAGAAAAGGCCAGATCTACGGCTAGATCTAGCCGCGTTTGGTCGACGACCAAAGATACGGCCGTCGTTGATGGTCAATGACGGCCAGATCTTTGGCCGTAGATCTGGCTGGAAAAGGCTAGATCGGTGCACTACCGGCCAGATCCAGCTGGTAGTATACCATTATACCAGATTCCGGCCACCTTCCGGCGGTAGTGGCTAGAATCTGGCAAATGTGGGTGGGTGAGGGTGTTTTTGTCAATTTCTAAACTTTTTTTGGGGGGTGTTTAGTTAAATTAACAAACTTAGGAGGTTTAAAAATAATTGAATAAAATAGAATAGGATTTTCAGAATAGAGAAACAAATGTGTATTTTGGATAGGATAGTGCAAAAATATTAAAACAAACGCACCCGTCTATATTTTGGGAATGGGAATTTATTTTACTAGACACTATATGTAGGTAATTAATTGATATTTGTTTAATATAATTCTCTAATGTGCATTACCATTAATGATCCTGTGGAAGACAATATTTGAATTCTTTTCTAATCCTTTTAAATGAAAATTAATTCTGATTTAAGTTCTGGATATCTGTCTGCACAGGGAGAAAATAAACAATTTGATCTTCCGAAAAAAAAGAAAAGTGACATTTGTACAATAATGTATACTAGTGGAACTACTGGTGATCCCAAGGGAGTAATGATTTCAAATGAGAGCATTGTTCATTTTATAGCTGCAGTGAAATTAGTTCTGGAAAGTGTGAATGAAAAGGTGATTTTCTGCTCCTTGAGCTCAATTAAATATCTGTTTGATTAAAGTGATTAATGACTGAAGCTGGATCATAATGTTTTATCTGTTCTAAATACGAAGATTTTGTGTGTGTGTGTGTGTGTGTGTGTGTGTACATATATATATGGTTAATATCAGGTGCGAATGTTTGCACTTTATAGAAGGTATGAATAGCTAGCTAAAATTTGGAACTTTAACAAAATGCAAAATCAACAGCAAAATTTAAATGTCAAGTCTTTTTAATTAGTCTCAAATTGAAAGTCTCTGATGGTGTAAAATATCAGGACATCATGATAACAGAAAATTTATACACATACACACACGTTTGCACAACTGTTTTCCTTTTCACAGGAGGTTTTATCTTTATTTATCTAATTTTTAGTGTGAGTATTGACAGTTGACTGCAGACGATGTATATCTTTCTTATCTTCCTCTTGCACATATCTTTGACCGGGCAATTGAAGAGTTTTTTATTGCACATGGTGCCGCAATAGGATTCTGGCGTGGGGTGAGTATGATTACCTATACCTCTCTGTCATACGAAGAGTTCCATATGCTAATCAATTGTATATTATTTATCAGGATGTCAAGTTATTGCTCGAAGACATTGGAGAGCTGAAACCAACTGTTTTCTGTGCTGTTCCCCGTGTACTAGATAGGATTTATTCAGGTAAAAATTTAACTTGTTCCTCAATGTTTTCAGGAATTTTTTATCTGCATCTATCATGTGCCATAAGTTATTAGAGGGATACTTCGATCCAGATGACATAACATCCTTGTGTTTCATGCATATTAGGATTGGGTAATTTCAAGGTTTGAAAAAGAAGTCGTCTTACCTCAACTTTTGTTCTTTTTCTCCTGGAGTTGGTGCATCAAACATAGTTATGTAACTTGTTAGTTTTGATTTTGTACTCCTTTGTTTTAAGTAATCTGTTTTCTCAAGAACAAAAAAAAAATGTTCAGAAAGGGGGTGCTGGCTTGGTTGAGAGGTTCTGATACTGCTGTGGGATTATAGGAAATTTAAATAACAAATTGTGGAATTGAAAAGGGTGTAGGTAGTACTACTATTACATTATGAAACAGACATAGTTGGAAATTCTAGATAACGATATGATTGTAGATAGTGTAGAATGGGGAAAAAGGATTCATGTAGTAGACCCAACTAATTTGAGATGGAGTCTCGGTTGAGTAGCAGGTATTTGTAGGGCCCCTCAAGCTCAGGAATCCATGATTCAAGCCAGCTTGGCAATATGCTTTAATATTGTCTTACATTATGAAGAGATCCGTAAATAGAAACAGAATGATGTACATAGTTTATACTTTGACCGGGGCTGTGAATTGGGTATGGTTTTATTCTTATTACAATGCATATATAGCAAAGTAAATGCAAGATAAATTTTGAAATTTTCCTGAATTGTAGTCTATCTAACTCTTGTATGTTATTTCAGGTTTGAATCTGAAGATTTCTAATGGAGGTTTATTGAAAAAGACACTATTTAATGTTGCATACGCATAGTAAGTTCTATTGCTTATATAGTTTGCTTGGGAAAAATGAGTTACTATGAGATATTCTTTTGCATGTATGTATATATTGTTTAGCTTAACTACACATCCTGCATTACCTTAAAATTCGCAATAGCCAATTCAGAGCTCCTCTTGATCTCAAAGTGCATCATTTCAACAATTACAGAAATTCCTCAGTTGACATGGATGTGGGATCTACGGATATACTTTTTCAATGGCTATTTTTTTCTGTTGAGTAAAACCATTAATATTCTGCTTATTTTGGATCCTTACATGTAACTGAATCTGCAACAGCTTGGATAGATCCTCAGTCCTTTCACATGTTAATTTAATACAAGTTTTTCTGTTCATTTGTTTCTTCTGTTCACTGCATTGCGTTTTTTTTGCCAGTTGTTTTGAACTTACTGTTTATTGCTGTACTTAGCTAAGCCAGTATGGGGTTTAATTAAAGGATTTATGAAGTTTGAGTTAGTTTGATTTACTATCTTTTTCTAATTTGCAATTGTTAACTGCTGCAGTAAGTTCCATAATTTGAGGAAGGGGCATACAACCGAAGAAGCATCTCCTCTTTCTGACAAAATTGTATTTGATAAGGTGATGGAATTATTAATCCTATCTCCTCCCAACCGCACCCCTAGCCCAAATTTACTGCTTAGAAGTTTATTAACAAACCACTCCACCTTAATTTGTTGGTTTCTATGACTTTCCTCAGGTAAAGCAAGCATTTGGAGGGCGTGTAAGGCTCATTTTGTCTGGTGCAGCTCCTCTTTCTGCGCATGTAGAAGCTTTCTTGCGAGTGGTCGCATGTGCTCATGTTCTACAGGGATATGGTATTGCTGTCGTTTGAAATTAATTTTACCATCTATCTCCATGCATTGGATTTATTGAATGTGTGTACTGAGTGATACATGAACTTTCATAATTTAATAATCATTTGATGGCAATGTAGGTCTGACGGAAACTTGTGCCGGTACTTTCGTGTCACTACCAAATGAAATATCCATGCTTGGTACTGTGGGCCCGCCAGTACCAAATGTTGATGTATGTCTAGAATCTGTTCCTGAAATGGGATATGATGCACTCTCAAGCACACCACGAGGAGAAGTTTGTGTTAGGGGTAAAACCCTCTTTTCTGGGTACTACAAACGCGAAGATCTGACCGAGGAAGTTCTTGTTGATGGATGGTTCCACACAGGTTTGTCCTTACCTATATGGTTTTTCTAAAGAACTCTTAATACGCTATGTCCGTGGTCTTTTTCTCAGGTTACCTTGTCTGTCATGATCTTTGCATCAGGTGATGTTGGTGAGTGGCAACCAAATGGAAGCTTGAAAATTATTGACCGTAAGAAGAACATTTTCAAACTTTCTCAAGGAGAATATGTTGCAGTTGAAAACTTGGAGAACATTTATTCTCTTGTAGCTGATATTGATTCAGTATGCTTTCTCCCTTCTCTCTCTCACTCTCTCTTTATTTTGTGTAGATAGATACATGAACCATTTGGTAGAAATGCATATATCTGTCTGTATGATATTATGTACCATTATTGCTGGATCTTTGGTTGGCATTTCCTTGTGATGTTTAACACATTTGTTGCTTTCTTCCTTATTTGGTTTGGCTGCTTTCTTATGCTCCTCTTTTGAATTTCAGATATGGGTTTATGGCAACAGCTTTGAGTCGTTTCTCGTTGCCGTTGTTAACCCCAACAAGGCAGCTCTTGAACGATGGGCAGCAGAAAATAATGTACCTGGAGACTTCAATGCCCTTTGTGAAAATCCTAAGGCGAAAGAGTACATTCTTGGAGAGCTCGCAAGGGTTGGAAAAGAAAAAAAGGTTTCTGGTTATCCTTAGTACTACATTACATATACCTTGTTGACTGGTCATGAAATGAATTGACAACTTTAAAAGATGGTTTTTACTGATCTTTAACTTTTACTCTTGGCAGTTGAAAGGTTTTGAATTTATAAAAGCTGTTCACCTTGATCCTGTGCCATTTGACATGGAACGCGACCTCCTAACCCCCACATATAAGAAGAAGAGGCCTCAGTTGCAAAAATACTATCAGGTACATCCTTTTGTTTTGTTTTTCGCTTTGTTTTGTTCTTTCAAGTAGTAACTGGAAAACTTTTTGGCAGACTGCTATTGACAACATGTACAAGAGTGTGAACAAGTCCAAGCCCTGATCTTGAAGGAAATATATTTTTCAAGGATCTCTAAAGAATATACTCCTTTGTTATGTTATACAATTAATTATTAGTTTTATTTTTTTTAAGTGGTTTTTCTTGTTGAGACTGTACTTATGCTTACATTTATGTTCGAATTAACTAAAATGTTACTGAATTTGGCTCCGTTTGGTACACTTTTTAGAATAGTATTTTATTCTAAATAGGATAGGATAAGAATATGTGAATATGTTTGATACATTTTTGGAAAACATTTAGATTTTTTAACCTTTTATATTTGTTAATTTAGTTAAATATTTCTCACAATAAAAATTTATATTAAAAAAAACACACCCACTCACACAATTGATTGCTGACAGTTGGTCACCACCATTGGACGGTGCTCGGAAGTCGTTGGAATATCGCATGATCGGTTGGCGCTAATTGGTCAGCTGGTCATATGCCAATCTGACCATTTCCGATCAGACTTGCTATGAATTTGGTTGAAAACAGACATATACGATTAATCAAATCTGACTGATTGTGTGTCATTTTAATGGTGACAACAACAGCGATTGAGTTGAATAGAGTAAAATTAGATTTTAAAAAATATTAAAATAAACATTTTTTTTTTTTTTCAATTTTTAAGATAAGATAATAGAATAAACCAGGTTGAAAAATTAAACAAAAGGGGGTAATTTATTAAGAGATTCTGCTATTGTTCTACGTGGCTTTGTGTAACAGTTGAATAACGTGATAGTCCATGACCCGACAATACTAATAGAGATAGCCCATTAGTCTCATCCTTTCCTGCTAAATAACATCAAATAAATTTTCAGATCGTTGCCTGTGCCTCATCAGGAAGTTACTTACAAACCGGTATATTCTATTCAAATACAAATTACACAAAACATAGTAATTGTTGAACAAAAAATCGCACTTAATCGTACATAATATTACAATACACAGCATTTATTCCAATCTCATCACCTCTTGGTCATCACTATCGTGAGGCAATTCAAGTGATAAAGTCGAATACTGCAATTCAAGTAGCTCCTCCCGGCTGTACTTCAATCTTTGATCTGTTTCATAAAAGAACAAAGAGAATAAGATAATAATTATCACATAAAATGAAAGCATAAGAATTCCCACCTATAAAACACAGAGACAATGGAAGTTGTTCCGGCTTTTTGTTCATTTGTGAAGCCCTCAAAGATATGCGAGATGGGGATGGACGGTTAGGGCCGACTTGATCTGATGGAGCAACAGATCTACGTTCATGCCTTACTTCAATTTGTGGATTTCTTTTACAAAATAACATGATGGAATCCCCAGATAACAGCCAGCAACCCCTCAGGTCTAGCAATTTTAGAGTTTCCGGGGGTCTGAATGAACCAAGCCCGTAATCAGTCAGCACAGCATCACAAATGGAAAGATGTGTCAACTTTGATAGAGATGACAATGGGTGCAGAGAGATATCTGTGAGGGAAGGACTTCTGAGAGAGAAATGCTGTAATTCTTGGAAGTTTGATAAGGGGCTAAGAGCTGCATCCCTGACTTGGGTCTGCTCCAAATTTAACCTTTCTAAATGATTCAGACTTTGAAGAGCTGTCAGTGAGAGAACCAAATCTGTCTCAGCACCCACCTGCCGAATGAAACCTGTATTTCGAGAAGCAAATATCACATAACCATACACATGGCATGAATTACACAACCATACAGCTATACCCAGAACAGAAGAATATCAAACTTGTGTGTGTCTGTGTACATTATTTGATAAAAGAATAACCTAAAATGATAATCCCGAGAAAATTTTAACTGCTTTGATGGATTCATACCTTCAATGTCTGTATTGCTCAAGTCAATAGCCTTCAGTGAGGTCATCATGCTGATATATGACATGGCCACATCGTCTATTTGTGTGCCAGATAAAGATAAAATTTCAAGATTGGGAAGATGACCAGCTAAAACCCCTACTCCAGCAGAGCTGATTCTTGTGTTGCTGAGACTCAAATTTCTCAAATTTGCACCCATACATACAACCTTTTCAATTGTATCATCTCTCAAGATGCTTGAGCTAAGATCCAAATGTTCCAGGGCTTTCATTTCCGGTAAAAAGCAAAAGCTATTAAAGGAAGAGTTGGACACATCCAGAAAGGAGAGGAAACTTGTTTCAATATGTAAAAAAGCTTCAGCTTCATTTACAAACGTAGTTCCTGAGAGACTTAGCTTTACTAAAGGAGCTTTTTCTTCATTCAGTTCAAGTATAGAGTCAATGGTACAATTACTCAAGTTTAAGCATTCAAGGGATAACATTTTCGGCAACTTTGTCACATTGGTCCAAGCCAGATTGAGGAAACTCAACCTTGGAAACATCTCAAGAACACAAGCTCCTTCGTTAGATATTTTACTTCCCCAAAGGTCAAGATACTGTAGCTTTGTCAGAACCTATAGAAACAGAACCACAACAAATTGTTTCACCTATAGAACTTGCACAGTAAACAGCCATGTATCAAAGGAAGCAAAATTCAAAACATAAAGCATTTGAAAATCAGAAGTCAGGATGGAAAAACAGTAACATATTTAGCAGAAATAGGCACTAAGATCTTGTAGTTGTTATGTTTCCCAATGACAAAAACTGTATGTCAGCATAAAATTCAGTTACAAAGAACCCAGAGTCACAATTCAACAAGACCAGTAAAGCAATCATCTCAACCATTCTTGACCACCAAAAAGTTAATGAAAACGGATTAACAGATAAAAAAGTTCAAACATTAAGTCTCCACCATTCGTTACCGCCAAAAGGTTAATAAAAACGGATTAACAGATAAAATAGTTCAAACATTAAGTCCATGGTTTTTCAAGAAGATACATTTTAATTAATGGAGTGAAACATTACTTGATAATACATGGAGCAGTTATAACCAGAACAGTGCAAATAATTGAATTCTATAAAATGCCACATAAGATATAGCACCTGAAGAGAACTCAACACCGGATCAGTAACAGGCAACCCGCCCAAGTCAAGTACAGACAAGTTTTTGAGCGATGAAAGGAGTTCAACTCCATTCTCAGTGACACCTGTCTCTGAAAGACACAGCTTCTCCAAAGTTGGAATAGATAATAAATGCTTAATCCCAGCATCAGTAACCTTCACGCACCTTGAAATATCCAATTCCTTCAAACTACTCATCCCTAAAACCAACCAAACACGTCCATATAAAAAGAAAAAGAGAATATGCAGCCAAACTTAACCAAAACAAAACAGAACTTAGAGCATACCGGCTAGAGGCCAAATAGCCGAACTAGAGATTTTATGACAATAAGCCAGATTCAAAGAGCGCAAGTAACGAAATGCTCCTAAATATGCCAACCATTCTCCATCAACATAGTTCTCACCTCTTAAATTAATTACCTCGACACTGCGTTTGAAAACTCTACGAGAGCCAAAAAAAAAATAAATAAAAAAAAAAAAAATCTCAGTTTAGTAGAGACGAAAGCTTAAAACAATTGGCTTCGTATACTTACTCTAGCAAGGACGGGAAGAGGAGGCGGCGACGGATGAGGTGGCGGAGCAGAGAATCGGCGAGATGAGCTGGCAATCTCTCTAAAGAACGTCTCTGTCTCCGCCATTTTTCAATGCTTTCTCTACTTTCACCAGCTGCTTCTAAGCATAGCCTCACCAGCTCAGTTTGATTCTCTATTTCCATCATCAATTTGTCTTTATTGTGTTTGCTCTCAGTTGGTTATGGATTTTGATCGGTAACTCGGTACCGTACCGATCCCTAAAGTCAAGCTACACTACAACGATCTTATTTTTGTCTCAAAGAATGAAAAACTAAGCCCGGAATTGGGCCGTAGACCGGGCTTGCAGGAACTGGGTTGGACTGGGCTTAGAAATGGACTCGGATCAGCACAAATCCGGCCCATTATTTTTGTCGGCCAAGTACCAAATGAAATCAGATTANGTCATTAATGTTTTTATACTAAAATACAAGTCTACGAAGCCTGATAGTCTGCAAAGAGAAAGAATGAAAACTGACTAACGGAGAATTTTATAAAACAAACTAGGTTTCGTTAGTTTACTTAACTGACAGTAAACGACAGTTATGCTAGCTAATTAGTTTGTTAACAACTTTCACAAACTGAACTGATTTTTAACAAACTAATTCTCTCTGAACAGTTTTACTTGAACTCCAGCAGCACTGCTGCTAAACAATTTGAGCTTGCACCTTAACAAGAGGCAACAGATGTGGAAAAATTATTTGGGGTATTAGGCGCAGAAGCAGAATTTGGAGAATTATAGTATGAATAAGGATTCGATGGAACAAATTTGGGAAAGAAAAATTATAAGTTAGTGACTTCCAAAACCAGTATAAGCAGAACTGAAACCAGTATTAACAGGACAAAATCCATAAACTTGGCATTGAGGAATTTGGAGCATTTGGTTTTGAGGGATTTTGATTGCCACGATAGGTTATATCAAACCTATGATAGCATGCACAGCTATATATATGATCTGATATGCCACAATTAAACTTGGCAAATTGGCTTCAGCTTCACATATTTACCTCTGCCACGCCCAAATAAAACCTGAGAATTATCACCAATCATGCCAGGTCTGAAACGAGAAGAATTTTGTACTTGATTTGCAAAGAAACCACTAGCAGGTATCATATTAGATCAACTATGTCCATTGTAACTTGCTATCTTCATAGAAACTCAGACTCTAATTGCTATGTTAGACTAATGGCCGTGGTCCCCACTCGTCATTTATCAAATCCGCCCATGATGTTAGTTGTACCACCATGCAAATCAAAGGTATGGACTTAATTTTTTCGAAGTTTTTGTTCACACTTTTGTAATTTTACTTCCTGAAGTGATACTGATGCTGGTGCTGAATCAGTTCTAGATGTAATATTTACAATGGGAGTTGTCGACCACTTCAATAATAAGGGGTCACGTACAATGACAGATCTAGGATTTTTGCCTGGTGGGGCCTCTGCGGTTCCGTTATTATTCGTCAAACAACTAGTGAAAACTTAAAAAAAATCATCAAACCTTAAGCAAATGAAATAATACAATATCAATAATCTGAAAGAAAATAATGCAATAATACAATACTTTACTACTTAAATAAATCTATGAGAAGCAAAACCTTGAACAAATTATGTTGAAAACAACATCCAATTCACGAGGAAACACAAGAAAATTTTTACGTGGAAAAACCTCTTCAATTAAAGAGAGCAAAAGACCACGGGAATCTAACGATCCACTTAAGTCCAATATAATTAAAAAAGTTTACAATAATCACAATCCACCAAAAATGTTCTACACAAATTTCTTAATTCTCCTCTTTTTTTTTTTTTTTTTTTTTTTTTGGCTTTCAAAGATTATAATATAAATTTTCATGACTTTGATCAGGCCTAGCCTAAGCCAAAGTCAATCAAAACTTAAATTAAGTCAACTTTGCCTTGACTTTTAATATAAATTAATAAAAAAAGGGGAAATTTTCTTAGTATAAACATAGATAATAACTCAAATTTCTTAAATAAGTTTGAGCAGCCAAATGGTGATGTTTGAAATGTAGGAAAGTGATGGGTGAAGGATGAAGAATAATATTCAGCAAAATATAGTTAAGGTTTGATTTGGGAAAGCATGAACATTCTTAAACACAAAACACAAAACAAACTCAAAAAACCATCCATGCCTTTTTTCCATCAAATTAGAATAAAAAACCTTCAAAAAATAAGCATGATTCAACCCTAAAATAAACTAAAATGAAATGAGCAATACACATACCTAAAATTAATAAAACAGAAAACAAAGCTAATTGTGACACCTTGATTAGTGAAAGCTTCAATATTTCAGTCTTCAAAAGTTTTAAGAACGAATAACATAGAGAAAGTGAAAGAGAGAATGAGAGAGTAAAGAATTTTAAGGATAAAATCATAAAAAATAGGTGGACGTAGAAAAAACTGGAGAGAATGTTAAACTTTTAATATGATGTAGGCCTAGAATATATATATTAATAACAAGTTTTTTATGAGTCTGGATATATGTATAATATTTCTCATTTCTTTTTTTAAATCTGAAGGTAAGCCTAGATATATATATTAATAGAATTTTTTTATGGCCTATATAAACAATTTATTTTTAAAATGTGAGGGTAGGCCTGGGCCTACCTTCCAAGGGGCTGGGTCCGCTCCTAGTCACGTAGACGCATTCGGGGGTTTGGCCCTATTCTTTAAGTAAGTAAATTCCTAATTGGGTTTGAGCTTAGGAAAATTGATTCTAGTAATATTAGGTTTTACTCTTTAAACCTAGTATATAACTTATTTTTCTCTTGTATGGGTGTGATAGCAAATCATAAGGTAGATACATTCATTATAATGAGAGAAGTGAGAAAGTATTCTAATAATATTGACTCTACTAGATGTAGCCTGTTAATTGGGTGAACCATGCTCATATTTTTTTTTTCTCTTTACTAGTTTGATATTTGTGTGTGTTTACTTATTTGGTTTCGTATTACTCTAGATTGTTTCATTGACAACTATAGCATCATTCTAGTCCTAGACCGTCTAACACATAATTCAAAAGTTCATCCTTAGTGACCACTTTTCTATTAGCAAGCAAAACATTAGCCTTTTCTTTCATTTTTTGAACAAATTCATTTATACTTGATATCAGGGTCATCTCAAGAACATTTGTGACCCTAGGTAAGAGTTACTTTGGAGGCCTTCTAATAATATAAGCATATATTAAAAAAAGTTATATCAAATTTATTATTCTTGCCTTTTGAGATGCAAAATCACTAGGAGAGGTGGACGACGACCAACAACCAAACGAGGTCAGGTTGGTGGGGGGTTTGGGAGAGCAGATGCTAGAGAAGCAATGGGTGATGAAATGGGTGATTTCCAATGCCAGGATTGACCAAAAAAAGGTTTGAGAAGTCGCGGCCCAAGAGGTATTGGTGGCCGGCAATTGGCGGAGTAAACGGATGAGATATGATAAGGGTTTTGGTGAGAGGGCTGAGGGGAGGAAAATGGTGGTGTCGGGGAAGGCCAATAACGTCAAGTACATGCCGAAAAGGTCAGAAATGGCTATCGCGCATGGTGGAGTTAGGTTGCGAGATACGTCAAAAATTGGCCAAATCGAAGGCTATCAAGGTTGGGAAACACTTGGAAAATGATAAAGTGATGATTCTGGTCGATTTTGGTGAGAAAATCAACCGGAATCAGCTCCTAACGGCCGGCGACGAAAGAGGGGTGGAGATGATTTATGTGAATGTCGAATTTTGGGATTGAATTAGGGGTGAGTAATTTGAGACATGTAAATAACCATTTTAGCATTTCATTGTTACAAAAAATTCAATGTGTTAATTTAGGGGTGTAAATTGGAATATATGAAACTAGAGGTACAAACTTACTATTTTGTCAAGTGGGAATATATGTAAAAAGTTTATAATAAATTTGGGCCTTTTTGGCTTTTTTTTTTGGGGGGG